ATTTTTAATAGAGACGGGGATTCACCATGTTGGCCGGGCTGGTCTTGAACTCCTGACTGCAGGTGATCCACCTGCCTTGGCCTCCCAAAATGCTGGGATTACAGGCATGAAACACCTCGCCTGACCCAGTTTTAAATAAGATACATTTAAGGCTGGGTGTGGTGGCTCATGCCTGTAATCCCTACACTTTGGGAGGCCGAGGTGGGCGGATCACGAGGTCAGGAGATCGAGACCATCCTGGCTAACATGGTGAAACCTCAACTCTGCTAAAAACACAAAAAATTAGCTGGGTATGGTGGCACGCACTGGTAGTCCTAGCTACTCGGGAGGCTGAGGCGGGAGAATCACTTGAACCCGGTAGGCAGAGGTTGCAGTGAGCCGAGATCGTGCCACTGCACTCTAGCCTGGGCAACGGAGCAAGACTCCATCTCAAAAAAAAAAAAAAAAAAAGATATATTGAAAACTCAATGTAGTTTTACCTTTGAACTCAGTGTCTCTGAATAATACTAACTCTTGGCGCTCAAAATTAATTTTACTTATTATGCACGGCAGTGAATCACATGGTAACAACATTTCAGTATATTTTGTTTTAGATTTTAGATTTTACCACTGGGACAGAGATCTAGTGTGAGAGTGCTACTTTTCAGAAAAAGCCATTTTGTCTATGTATAGTTACCATTCAAATAGCCTATATCTCTTAGATTTGCATTAAGAACCTCACAGAGCTTTAAGGGAGAATTGGAGCAATTAGATGAATGAATTATATTTATTTTTATTACTTGTTATAGGTTTGGCAGTTCTGTACCAGTGGACCAATCTTTTCATCCCCGTGTACCTCATCATCAGAGCAAAAAATATTTTTTGGTTCCCATGATTGCTTTGTCTACTGTTGTAACATGAAAGGTCACCTGCAGTGGAAATTTGAAACTACTTCAAGGGTCTATGCAACACCGTTTGCTTTCCATAACTGCAACGGCAGCAATGAAATGTTGCTGGCAGCAGCATCTACTGATGGGAAACTGTGGATCTTGGAATCTCAGAGTGGACAATTGCAAAGTGTTTATGAACTTCCTGGAGAAGTCTTCTCTTCTCCTGTGGTCCTGGAATCAATGCTCATTATTGGGTGTAGAGATAATTATGTTTATTGTCTGGATTTATTAGGTGGCAATAAAAAATAATCAAATACAGTCCTTATTTATATAACAAATGTGAGATGTTTGAAAATATTTTACCATTATAGAGCATTTGGATAGTCTTATTTAAATTAAAGATTATATTTTGGCTAAGAAACGGACACTTGTCTACTACACCTGGTTGGAGAACAACTATATTTTACTTCCCATAGGAACAACAGAAGCTTTTACAAAGAGAGAACAAAACACATCAATATATTTAGTAGCACTTTTGTTTAATTAGGTGTGATGGTTAACTTTATATGTCAGCTTGACTGGCTAAGGGATGCTCGGATAGCTGGTAAAACATTATTTCTGGGTATGTCTGTGAGGCTGTTTCTGGAAAAGATTAGCATTTGAATTTGAATCAATCAGTAGACTGAGTAAAGAAGGTCCTCCCTCACCAGTGTGCCAATGTGGGTGGCATCGTTCAAGCTGATGAGGGCCTGAATGGAACGAAAAGGTAGAGGAGGGGCAAATGCTCTGTTCTTGCTGAGATGTATCCATCTGCTCCTTCCTTTGGACATCAAAGCTCCTGGTTCTGAAGCCTTTGGACCACTCTCCTGGGTCTCCAGTGTGCAAATGGCAGATGGTGGCACTTCTCAGCCTCCATAATCACTTAAGCCAGTTTTCATAATACATCTCTCCTAATCGCTAGGTTTCTATGGAGAACCCTAATACATTAGGCTAATTTTATGTTTTTTTCTTTAAAAAAGATCCCGGCGGGGGTCAGGGGAGGATCAGAATATACTTGGTGGATTAAAAACGGTCTTTATTACATGAATTTGCCATTCATGGCAAAAGGTTTTCAAAGGCAGGATTTAGTTATCGAATTACGTTCCTTAGTTATTTTTAATGAAATACTAATGTAGACTAAAATATACACACACACCCTGCCCCACACACAGTGCAATTTCATGTTTATACGTGGTGATTTCAGGCGTTCATTGTTCCTAGCAATGCCCTTTCCTTAAAATTTTGATCTTTTGCTCATCATGGAATGGGTTTGTTTTTTTTTTTGCATTAATTTTGATTTTTTAAAAATACTGCATTAAAATAGTATTTCTCTTGATTACTAAGTTTTCTGGCAGCCAAGGCAAGTGCTCACATGCCTAACTCACTTTTCATTTCACCAGGGTCTGGCCCTGTAAGTTAGTATATCTGATGTGTGGCCATAAGCTGCAAATTCTCACGTGCTCTCAGCTGCTGCTTCTGCTGAGTAGCCCATGCTGTGAGGAGGCTGCACAATCCTTTTGTCTGAGACCCAGACCATTCAATTCCAATTTAGGATTGAGACAAACATTTTATTTGCCCCTGTTCATTATTTTTCTCTAAAAATACCTAGTAAAAAATATAATAAAACACCTTGAAGTTGTTCTTGTTCAACAAAAGCTATGCAAATATAATGAGATTGTTTTGTAGATAGTCATCGAAATCAAATTCCATCAGTGCCAAAGGTCTCGTGGGTATTTTTTATTGAAAGATCTTTTCCCTTCAATAATGGACATTTTACATTAAAACTTTATACAACCAAATATCCAAATTATATTAAAATCACACTAAGGTATTTTCATTGTCTCTAACTTTACTGTTGGTAAAAATATTAAGACACTTGTAACTAATGTTTCTGCTTTAAAATAAGCAATTAAACTAAATGTCACAAGAAGAGACAATACATACTATACATTTGCAGATAACTGGCTAAATGATAATTTAATAGTAATTAATAATGTTTGTGTAAGAAACAATTGCACTTGAAAAATTAAAAAAGTAAACAAAAAACCCTCTAGTTTTATATATAAGTCTATGAACAGAGGTTAATCATCTATAACCTCGCCAGGAGAAGTGTATGTTTGTTTAAATAAAAAAAAAAAAAAAAAAAGCTTGCATTTAACATAGTAAGCATTCATTTAAAAAAAAGTCTTGAACTTTTTATATGTTTTTACAGAATTTCCCCATAGTTTGTTGCTCTGAAGACTGCAACACAACTAAAGCAAAATAACACTTCATTGGTATTTAGTGCAAATTCGGGGTGATTTTGAAATGAAATGTTAAACATGTACCCTTTAGAAGCTGTTAGAAGTAAGTACTGTGACTGCCCTTTCTTCAGTATACTCTTCTTTTAAAGACTTTGATGGAAAAATTTTAACTGAGGTATTTCGCCTACTTTGTTTGGGCACAGTGATATCCCAGCCAATACAAAGTTGACACATCTACCATTTTTTGTAACTGATCTTATTTCCCCACCTGTTCCTTGCCATAATTGGGATATTGTCCAAAGCTGACAGGATGAAAGAAAAAGTCAATTCAGAAGAATTACTGTAGCATTATCATTCCAGGGCTGTAGGTGGAAACATTTCCATTGAAAAGTGTTATATTAGTGAGGAAATCATTGGAACTAACAAATGCCTACATACAAGATTTAGACATGAACATTAGTATGGAAGACGTGCAGTGAAATACTAATTGCTTGCCACAGCAATAAAAAAAAGTTACATTGATTTTTAACAGTCTGAAGGTCCAGTATATATAATATTAAATCCAACTTGCAAGAGTACAACTATCCACTTGACCACACATGCCAGCTGCTACAGTGAGGCTGAGCCATTGTTTCTAGAAAGAAAATGGTTTCTACATGGTAAATAACTTTGCCATCATCCTTTATTTAAGGTACATGGTAGAATAACAGCACATTGCATATTGAGCGAGCATAAAGGAAAGTAATGATGGATACTTAATAAAGCATGTTTTTGTAGGAGAGGAAAAAGGATGTAATTCCCTCTGCACAGAGCAAAGGATGTGTACCTGTGTACCTATATTTTGGAGTAAGAATCTAAGAAAAGGGGAATATGCCAACACTATGAAATATAAGGTTAGCACCAGCAATATGTGAGTTTGCTGGTATGTCTACGTTTCACGTAAAGTAAATTTAGGGAAATAAAAGTGAATATATGTGGCTTTTAAACTGCCAAGTCCCTTCTTTGTATGCACATGTGTATGATAATAAAAAGGCCACTTAAAACTCAGATGTTTGTTAAAGGTAGCAAGGTGAATGCTCAAAATTAGAAATGCTACTGGACATTTGACTCTAAATATGAATTACTCATTATAGTAAAGAAAAGACTTTCTGCAGGAAGTCCTTATTACAAAGGCTCCAAATCTTGGCTTCCTGTTCATTTTCCCTAAACACCAAAGGGGATTTTCAAACATGTAATGTCAATACCTGTTGTTTCTTGTAATAAATGGCTGGCTTGGGGGGTTGTTTTATTATTTTTCCTGTCTCACTGTTGCTTTTTGAGTGAGTGAGCCTCCCTTTCAAAGTCTGAAAAACTAGATTACATTAGGATCAGTGTTTGTCTCAAAGTTCTTAACCTTTGGGATCTATCAGAATTGATCTGAAGAGTTTTTGCCAGAATACATTTTCCTGGCCCAGTCCGCACAGGCTCTGATTGAGTAGGCCTGGGTGGGAGCCTACGCATCGTAACAACCACTGCCCTAGATGGAGATTCTCGAGACAGAAAGCAAACTTGTAGCTCTGATCTAGAATTGCCTTTCTTCACTACATTAAATTAAAATGTTCCCTGGGAGCCAGCTGGGCCAAATGCTTCACATGTCCTTAAGGAGGGTATTGGAATAACAGGGCCTCACACTATGAATCCACAGTGTGGTAAAAATGTGAATGGATGTGCCTTCTGTGTTACAGCTTCAGAGTGGGGAAAACTCATGAAAACTAACATGGGCACAGTTGGGAGCCAGAATGTTCCTTGTGATTCCCAGTTACTCACTGCATTCAGGAGAATGGGTGTTCTCGCTTTTAGCTAGATATGATCCTTTCACCATTACCGCAGAAAGGATAAACATTCCCACACATATGGTAGAGTAAATGTTTCGGACAAAGAAAATTAGTGCATAGAATCAAAAAACCATTACAAAAGGTTGGCAAAAGTACACATTCTGAATGGTGTGTGGGTGGGTGTGTGTGCAAGGCCATGGAATGGGCATGGGCAGGCTCTCATGAGGAGTTCTTAGCTTAGATATTTTGCTTCATGTGGTCCTGTGGACGGAATTTTCTCTTGAGAACTAGGAGGAGCTCAAGGCACCAGGACCTAGGGTTGTGCAAATCCACTCTTTACAATGAACACCACCAGTTCAGTTTCTAAACATTATTTTACAGTCTATAAAACATGCTTCTTTTCCCTAGCTTGATTTCTTTACCCCATATAAAAAATAAATAAATAAAAAGGGCAAGAGAGGAGCCAATAACTGGCAGTAGGGATTGGTAAGAGTCACTCTTTACTTAATAATCTGTGGACAGTCGCTCCAAGCCTTTGCTTTCCTTTTGGCCAAAGCCAGCCAGGCTGGTTCTGTTGACACGGGGGCAGCATCCGGGGTGGAAAACCTCTTGGTGACTTCTTTCACTAGCGGTGCTGGGGGAGCCGAATCGGAGATCTCCACTGGGTTTTGTTTTGAAGGAAAAGGAAAAAGTAAGTTCAGAGCCACATTATAAATTTTCTTTTTAATTAACAGATAAACTGTATGTATTTATCATGATAAACTGTATGTATCTGTCATGTACAACATTGTTTTGAAATATATATACATTGCAAAATAGCTAAATCTAGCTAATTAAAATATACAAAACCTCACAGTTATCATTTTTGTGGTGACAGCATTTAAAATCTACTCTCTTACGTCTCTTGAACATACTCCTCTTATCTAACTGAAATTTTGTATCCTGTGATGAACATCTCTCCAACACCCCCCACCCCAGCCATATTTTGATTTATCAGAAGTGTGAGACAGAAAAAAGAAAACCCAGTGAAACACAGACAGGCAAATTCCTGGACTCCCTCAGTGAGGAGAATGAAGGAAAGCAAGCTGTGTGTTTATAACTCTTGCACACAGAATTACAACAACCAAAGTAGTCAGTTTTAATTTCAAAGAATTTCCAGAAGCCTAATCTGTATAAAGAAGCTATGCCTGCATGATACCCAGTCAATCCCATGAAGAAAAAGATCAACTCAGCAGACTGGATCTATTAAGCTGGTGAGGTTAAAAGCTACCTTCCTGGCCGGGCATGGTGGCTCATGCCTGTAATCCCAGCACTTTGGGAGGTCAAGGT